AAGGAAGAGTGACGATCACACAACAACCAACATATGCTTGTAGGATGCCAGAAAGTGCTCATACCAGGTCATGTGTGCAAACATCCCATAATACAAGTGCACTACTTTTTTGGAGAGGTGTGCGTAAGGGGAGATAACTATGTTCGGGAGCTAGCGCAGGAGTGATAGGCATTTTTCTACCTGGAATTGGGCTGGACACTATGGTTACAGTATTACTCTTGGTTGGTTTACTATTGAAGCCAGCTGGTGTTGGGTTATGGCCCCTGACTGTGAATCTCTGATGGTGTAGTGTATATATATATATGATTATATACATAAAAATGTCGAATTTCTTGTTATTAATAACCAAATTGTTAATACAACATAAATATCATGCTTCTGTTTAAATTCATTTCTAACACCAGAGAACAGGATAAAATGATTAGTGAGGATCCTGCAGGTTCCTACTAAACAGCTTTAATATCCAACTTTATCAGTTTACTGCGACATTGGCTTTCCACAGTAGTAAAACTAAATCGTAAAATATCAATTTTAAAAATTTTTCATTGAACATCAGTATTTTCTTTTTATATTAGGGAAAAAAATGAACATGAAATTTTTTTTATTTGAAAACAATGTACCATCAAAAATTGTTTTAGAAACAATGAGCATGAGAGGAGGTGAAAGTAATGATGATTGTTGGATTTTAAAAGGCTAAGGTTGTTATGAATATATATATACAGTATTAGGATTTTAAAACTCAAAAATATTCGTGATTTTGTTATTTATGGAGTACAAGAATACAGTAAAATAAATGTTATTAATGGAACATTTAATTAGTTTAAAAATCAAGAAATCAACAAAATTAATAAAATATAGATTTAATTGAAACTAAATAGAACAAAACTTAAAGCATATATATATATAGACAGAGATAGACTATAGTATGTGTGAAGTAGCTGCTGTGATACACAAACTTCTCAAGGTAGTTTGTAGTAATAACGTAATGCCATCGTAGATCTTTATTTTTAAACTTGTGTCCCAAAGATCAAAATTTGAAAATTGTTAGAATTAATCTAAAAATTGTCATCTCAGATCTCTATTTTTAAACTTTTGTCGAAAGGATCAAAATTTGAAATTTGTCAAAATCAACTTAAAATTACTTGAGTTATATGTATAACTCCTCATTTGTATCTCTAAATATTGCAGGTAAAACATCTAGAACTTACTTTGAATTGGTTTTTACTGTGCAGAAGTACCATTTTTATTTGGAAATCAGTCTATGTCTGGATATAAGCCCATCTAATATTTTCCAGGGCATCAGGTTCACTCTCTGATATAATATTGATTTCTTAGGTAAAACTATCCCTATATTTTAAACATTATATTTTCACTTGCTTCGGAGGACACTGAATCTGTAATAATGTTACAGTCCAAAATTAACATTTTTTAATTTTTTTAATATGTCATCTATTTACACTCACCAAAGAGATTTCAACTTTTTTTTGTAAAAGTCTTCATAGCTTTACTTTATTTTCCTTGTCACTGATGAATTTTATTTAATTACTCATTTGTCAATTTCTATTTTACTACAAGCACTGTTGTAGTTGTATATTTCATCCGAGTTAAAGTTGAATCATTGTTTTTGTTTTTTGTTTTTGTTTTCCACTGCCAGTAAGGACACAACAGGACAAATGAAACTTGTACTACAAAATACCTTGAAAGTAAAATTACGACAACAATGCAGTTAATGCTGACACACATATCCAATGAGTGACAGACATCACAGATTACGATTAGTGGCAATTTTAGGCGAATAGAAAAATTACAATTTATTAATTAATGAATTTGATGAGATGATATCTACGAAAAAGATAATGCATTTTTTTCTTTTTTTCGGTCAGTGTTACGTAAATAGTACAAGATTGATCAGAATATCACACCCTATATTTTATCTGCAGCTTAAATTAAGCATTGTTTATGATAAGCCCATATAGTCTACCTCTCGTTTGGCCTCTCTGTGCTGTAGAGTGGGCCAGTCAGGTATTAAGTCTACGAGAGATGCCCTACGCTGCTGCATGGATGTGCGCCGCTGCTGCTCCATAGCCTCGAGTTTATCTACGCTGGGTTTCATCACTGGGAGAGGAATATCAAGGTTGTCCATGGACTGGCGTCTACTGGAGTCCTTCTGTACACAGAGTAATAAATACCCATAAAGCTTTGAAAATCAGAACGTGTTTACCTGGGAGGTCCAGAGTGATTATACATACCCATTCGCAACAGTGGTGAGAATCTAAGAGGTCAGCTACTGGGTCAACGATTTCTGACTATTCTCTTAACTGGTTTAAATCTAGGGATGAACTAACAGGTCAAAGTGGAGTAAACCTAAAGGGTCAGCTAAAGGGCCAAAATGGTGGAATCTAGGAAGCTACCTGGTAAACCCTTTTCTAAAATGTAAACCTAGAGGAGGAGGGGTCAGCTACGTGGTGCAGTGTGAGTATTCTCTAAAGTGGTTATCTGGCACAGCCTGAGTATTCTTAAAAGTGGTTAACTGGCCTAGTGTGAGTATTCTCTAAAGTAATTAAATTGCCCAGGGTGAGTATTCTCTACACTGCTTAACTGGCTCAGTGTGAGTAACCTCTAATGTGGTTAACTGGCCGTGTGTGAGTATTCTCTAAAGTGTTTAACTGGCCCAGCGTGAGTATTCTCTAAAGTGGTTAACTGGCCTAGTGTGAGTATTCTCTAAAGTGATTAACTGGCCCTGGATGAGTATTCTCTACAGTGCTTAACTGGCTCAGTGAAAGTATTCTTTAAAGCAGTCAACTGGCCCAGCCTCAGTATTCTCTAAAGTGGTTAACTGGCCCAGTGTGAGTATTCTCTAAAGTGTTTAATTGGCCCAGTGTGAGTATTCTCTAAAGTGTTTAATTGGCCCAGTGTGAGTATTCTCTAAAGTAGTTAACTGACCCAGTGTGAGTATTCTCTAAAGTAGTTAACTGACCCAGTGTGAGTATTCTCTAAAGTGGTCAATTGGCTCAGTGTAAGTATTCTCTAAAGTGTTTAACTGGCCCAGCATGAGTATTAGCTAAAAGTGTTAAACTAGCCCAGCCTGAGTAATCTCTAAAGTGGTTAACTGGCCCAGTGTGAGTATTCTTTAAAACAGTTTAAACCCAGAGAGTCAATTAACAGGCTCTCTGTAAGTATTCTCTAAACCAGTGTAAACCCTGGGGGTCAGTTAACAGGCCCAGTGTCTGCTAAAGTGGTGTTAACCCTGGGGGGTCAGTTAACAGGCCCAGTGTAAGCATTCTCTAAACCAGTGTAAACCCTTGGGGTCAGTTAACAGGCCCAGTGTTCTCTAAAGTGAGGTAAACCCTGGGGGTCAGTTAACAGGCCCAGTGTTGGCATTCTCTAAAGTGGTGTTAACCCTGGGGGGTCAGTTAACAGGCCCAGTGTTCTCTAAAGTGGTGTTAACTCAGGGGGGTCAGTTAACAGGCCCAGTGTTCTCTAAAGCGGTGTTTTCATTTGAGGACTGCTAATGGGTGAATTGTGAGTATAACTGGTAATTCTAATGGCATTGTTAACATTAGGGACCAGCCTATAGGCAAACTACAAAAGTATACATACCTATTCTCAAATAAACTTCCTAGGTTTTGGAATTATGCCTATGAGTAAAAGAGATACTAATTCTCTGCTAATGGGCCCAGTATGAGCATACATACCCATTCTCAAAAGATGTAGAGGATTCATCCTTGTATCAAGAATAATGCATCACTCAAAAGAAGCATCTTGGATAATTCCAGAAGACAAGGTATAGATAACACTAATAGTAAGCCCTAACACCCATCAGTACCTTCAGAGAGAAATTAAGGATCATATCCTTGAAGCGCAAATGTATAGTTCAGTAATTTCAACTGGTTATGAAAAATGAAAGGAAAAGTTCACCCCATCCCACCCTTCCCCCTATCAAGGGATGTGAAATTCATGTGTAGCATTGAGCATGAAGGGAAGATGGGTCAAAAATAAAAGGGAAGAAACTTGGTCAAAGGCAAAGAAAAGGGAAAATAAAGAAATAGAAACTGAGTCAAAGATAGTCCAACCTTGTGCAATTTGCAAATTGTAAAGATTGGTCTTCATTGATCATATTGAATGTGAGTTTTATTTTCAAAATTAATAAAAAATTTTTTTTTAATTAAAATATATTAGATGTTAATTGAATTTTGAATTAGATACATCAAAAAAATCTTTAATTATGGAATTAAAACACTTATTATTTCTAAAATCATCAATTAATAAGATAATAAAAAACATTGTAACATCATTTCCCAATAACTGGTAATATGCAATGATAAAAAAAAGAGTAAAAAAACATAAGATTGGGCATATAACTTTGATATACATTTTAAACATGAGAAGCTGGGGGAGAAACAGGGAAAGATATCCTCAGGCACTCGAGTCAATATAATCAAACAACGAACCTGTTGTGCATTATGGGCAATATATATTTATAAACGCCATGCGGATATATTGCCATTTTGAAATAGTAAAATGTTTTGTGCTGTAATAACAATGCTAAACTATTGTGTCTGCGTAATGTATGTGCATAACACATACCAACAGTGCTGTAGAAAAGAATTTTTCAAATCCTCATGCATTTTCATACTTTCTTGAAAATGGCAAAAACAAAAGGCAACAATAGTGTTGCCATGGTTCATTGTAACCATGACAACTGGTATCATCACATAGGAATCAAAAATTCAATATGGTATCAACTAAAAAGAAGAAGAGAGAACAGATCAACCCATCATCAAACAAAGCGCTCCTAAATGGAAAAAATCATCAAAAAAATGTGTTTTAAACAAAATAAATCATAAAAGCAAACAGGTGTATGGTATACAAATAAAACAATGCTGTACAACAAATGCTTCACTAGCCATCCTCTAAAAGGCAGTTATCTGCCTCTTACTTAAGACAGTTATCTGCCCTTGATTGAGGCAGACCATCATTCTACCGTTTCTCAGACATGCCTTTTTTGTTCCAAAACTCTTGAGTTGGACACCAAAGTCCACATCCCCTTCAAAATCGTCCCTGCCTCCTTTCATTCCTTTCAGTTTCACCCCGAACACCTGTTGAGCCTGTTCTGTAATGGATTTCTTCTTCTTTTTCTTACTCTTCGCATCAGGTACTTCAAGATAAGTCTTCTCCTCAGCCTCTACTTGTCCAGAAGAAACCTTTTTAAGTTTGACAAATGGGCCAGCTTGGGAATCAGTCTCATCTGGAATGAGGGATGACTTCTTTGGTGTGATAAATGGACCTGATGGCCCGGTATCCTCTTGGGCGCTGACTTTTTTCAGTGATAGCCCGGCTTCCTCTTGGGCGCTGACTTTTTTCAGTGTAACAGTTTCTCCTTCAGCCTCAGCAGCCGGGATTTTTCCCTTGCCTATTTTTAGCTTTGACTGCTCTATCTCAGCTGCCTCAACTGAGGCCCTTTTGGTCATTTTCATCACGGTGGTGGACTCCTCAATCTTAACAGCTTCCACAGATGTCTTTTTCTGAGTCATGCTGACACTCTCAAATGTGGTCTTCTCGACTTTATCAATCAATAAGGAACTCCTTCTTGAGGAAGTCTGGCTACCCGGCTTTAATTTGAGAAAACATTCAGGATTTGACAAAATTAATCCCTAACCTAATCTGATCTAATGCACAGGAGAGAGCTCCATGGTCACACTTAAGCAATTAGTATGCTGTTTTAGTTACAATTAGTAATCTTCTATTGAAATCGTCCTTGTTAATTACATGAATCATCGTTAAGAATTATATAAAAACCCTGATCTGAAATCCAAGTCTTAACCTACAATTACCTGATCTTGATACCATTAAGTTGTGTGTTAACATGATGACCTTTGACCCAAGATCTAGAGTAATAATATATGCATGATGAACTTTGATCCCAGATCTAGATCAATATGATTCACAAGGTGATCCCAGTTCTATCAGAAATTATTTACATGATGACCTATGACCCCAATCTAAGGTAATATGATTTACTAGATGACCTATGACTCCATATCAACCAAATCTTATTCATGTACCCATAATCTGACCCCAGATTTAGACAATATCCTTAATGAGGCAACCTTTGGCCCAAGATCTTGAGCAATATCATCCAAATGATAACCCCTGTTTGACCCTGTTTCTAGAAAAATAATCTTGATTTAGATAAATTACCGAGAGTAAGTCTGTGTTATGAAACATTTATCCTCGTATAAAAGATTAATTGTGATGAACAGAATCAGAGACTTCTGGTCAATTGACAAAAGCTGTAAAACTGTTCTTCATAAAAAAATAAAAATTAAGAAAGCAAAAATTATTGTGTATCTCAAATGATCTTGACATCCAACAAACTGTTTTATGAATGTATGTTAAAAATTCAGATCAACATTTGTTAACAGTTAAACTTATCTCAATGGATTTTGATAAACATGAGGTAAAATCTGATTAGTACACAAATTAATTTAGTTATGATCACACAGTTGCCGTAGCAACTGACATCTTTGTTCTGATTGGATAACATTACCTTCTCATCCTCACTGTCACTTCCTGTTTTTTCAATCTTCTTCAGGTTAGCCTTCATCATCTCAATCTGAGAAGGACGTCTCTTCTTGTCGACTGTAAACAGACGTAGTAAAGTGTCATGACCTCATAAATAATTCTGTAAGGTCATGACCTAAAAAACAGTACAAGGTCATGACCTTGTCAAGATATAAAAGCAATCCCAATAAGCAATAACGTCATAATATCATATTATTACTAACTTGTCACACTGTTAAAACTATCTTTCAGGACATATATATTTTAGAAAATAGTAAAAAAATGTTTTTCATGGAAACAAGAGTTTACGAGGAAATTTTTTTTGTTTATTTTTTTATAAATCAATGACACATAACGACATATAAACAATAAATCAATCAATCAAAGAATACATTTCAAACTCTTTACAGAGATCATTAATTACAGTATACAGAAATAAGGTTAAAGCTAGTACATTTGCACATCAAAGATTGTGTTCATGTATACATGTATCTGTCCTAGCCTTCACATCACCTTGGACTTACACATCCTCTTGTGGATTAAGTTAGCTCGATTCTGAATCAATAAGCTCAATACTTGTTGCCTAAACCGTTCTTTTCATCTTTTAATCCTTTTCCTTTTTTTTTAAAAAAATAATATCTTATTTTAAACCTAAGTTATATCAAAATCCAATTTTAGTTCAGCTGTTTATAACCTTGGTCTGAAAATTCAATACAAAGCAATTTTGTTGAATTATTCTAAACCAGTTCAAAGATTTTTAAATCTGTCCTAATCTGATCAAATGTCGCGGTAATAACAGAATTACATATAAAGTCATTTTGATTTAATGAATATCTCCATATAAGGCAACTCATATTCAATATGGGTATTAATAAAAGATACTAATTAAAGAGAAATTTTTATTAAACTGTACTCAAACACTACTTGTACATTTTGAAGTGGTTTCCACAGCTGGTACCGAAAGTGTTCCATATTAAATAATGTAAGTCGACACCCATTCTATTTTGAATTAGTTCTAATGGTGAGAGATCAGTACGATTGATCAGTAATTATACACTAGGTCTATTGGTAGGTAGTTCACACTACAGTATTGTAACGACCAGCCTCTCTAAATGTTAACACGCATCATAGCCCGATATTATTTATGCTACGTCTAAAGATAGCGCGACAGTTTCAGCTCTGCTTTCTATGCGCGCTCAAATGGACATCATATATGTCCTTTTGATTACAAGCAAACAAGTAAACACATCACAACAAAAGCGAAGCACTCTAGCTATATTCCTATCAGTTGTATAACAGACTTAGACACGTCAAATGTTGACGATGGAGATTTAAGTCAATCAAAATTTTATATCTTTTCAAAAAAATCCACCAGAAAATAGTTGTAATCGTGATGAAAAATGGTGATGTATTCTGAAAAATTTGAATATTATCTGTTTTAAAACAAATAAAAAAAACCAAGTTTGCACAATATGCAATGATATAACAATTAATGCAAGAAAAACAAGACATTATATACCATATAATATATTATTGTGCTTAAGATATATGTTTCTGAATGTACTATCGCATGCTACCAGGCTCTATACTGCTCACTCTAGGACTATAGAGCATCTGACTCCTTATATTATACACAGCCACATCTAAAGAAATCTCACTGAACAGCAACTCAGACAACTTCTCACCTAAACTTTTCAAACACTTTTAATTTTCTAACAAAACAGTTACAATTCAAATTTTGAAATGTTATCTAACTCATCATCTTCACCAAAACAAAAATGAAATTAAATCTATTTGAATCCATGTCAATATATATATATCTAAGGGTCTATCATACAAGTCTTCCTCATCGAAAAACATTTCAAAAAAAAAAATTTCTCTACGAAAATCGCTAATTCACAGAAGAATATTTTTCAATAAGAATATATTGATGGGATTAACACAAATATAAAAAAAAAAGAATTTTGATAAGATTTACGTTTCTTCAGAATCCTTAAATTATTTTTCTGTACATTTCTAGTCTTCCTGACACAATATTTGGTATCCTGAACATTATCAGAGGATCTGCCTTAACATGGTATAAATATGTATGTTGTTGTAATCTACTAGACACTAACAGCTACACAAGACACGCTAACACAGCACAACACAGCGCAATGCAACTGAAAGAGAAATTACGCTTCTAGCGCAATGCTATATATATTGCACGCAGTTACTAATTGTCCGGTTGCTTGGAACGTACAGTTGCCATCTGAAATAAATAATGCGCATGTTGGATATTAACATGAAACAATGAGAGACACACTTCAAAATATTAATAAAGAAAGGGATGAAAGATTTTGGATGGTTAAATCACCAAAAGTATTTGCAATAGATTTTGTTATGTTCTTGCCATGAAGCATGTTAAGTGGGATACATTTATTAGTTTTACAGATTGGTAAGGAAATAAAGTGATTAAGTAAAAAGAAGGTTTGTAGACCGGACCAGTATTTTAATGGTTAAAGTTCACAACAAATTAATAGGGTTTTGTTAATTCACTTTAAGAATTAATCCTTTAAAGTGGACTTCAGTTTTAATCATTATCGGACTTAAAAAATAGTTTGGATAAAGCAGGTCACCTTCATGAGTGCATGATATGGGATTTTATCATTTTGGTGCTAAGAGAGTGCTGATAAGGGAAGTAACTCCAATTAAATATATTACCTGGTTTGAGATTTCCCCAGTCAGGATCCTCCTCTGTGCTGTCCTTCTTCTTGCTTTGCCTTTATACAGATGTACAGTAAAAGATCAAAACAGTGTTCTATGTCAAAGTAATGATAGAAAAGAAATACCAGTAAATCAGATGCTTTTATACATTAATACCCAGTCAATACTCCATGATGGTTAAATTGGACCAGTGAGAAAAAAATTAAAAATAAAAAGGGACAAATGACACATCCTTGACAAAGATGATAGATGCCAGAAATGATTTGAAACTGAGAATATAAGGACCTACCTATGTTTTAAGAGGTTCCTGAAGTCCAAGCTCGAATCTTTAGGATCTACAATTGGAGAAGGTCACAGAGGTCAATCATCATGCATTCCTACATGCAAACATTTCTCTGTGCTCCTCTGTTCTGTGCCTGTGATCGGCCATGCCACATCCTCTATCTACTTGAAATCTCACACATTAACACTGTATCCTACTGGTGTTTCAGGGTAAAACTGTAACAACTAATATATACAGTATAACAGAGGAGTAAATATGTGTTTCCTTCTATTTACACTCGTTTTCTCGGGTTTGTTGTCGGTGTTGACTTGAGAAAGAAAACAAGCAACTGACTAAACTGTCTAAGAAATCTAGATACAAGACCAAACATTCAATGATTCTATTTCAAAACACACAACACTACAGATTTTATTGGAATGATGACAACCTTGCACTCATGCTGAATAACTCAAAACCTAACATAATTACATGTCATATACTATAGAAAGCCAGTTAAAAAATGAATATTTATTTTTTATTATGCAGATATCCAAGATCTTCAGCAATTTTACACAGACCTATAAATAACCTTTATTTCTAACAATAACTTGCGGAATTTTCAATACTTTCAGTTTGATACTTTGGCCTCATGGAACCGTTATTACCTTAGTTAACCTTGTAAATGTGGCATTTTTTCTTCATATAAGGACCTTGACCTTGTAATACACTACATCCTCAATACCCTGACTTCGTAATATCTAACATTACCTAGGCATTGTGATACTTAATGACCTTCTGATAATACCCAAGTGATGACTTTTGGATAAGCAATATAATCGTATGATGGCCTTGGCCTTCTGATAACCTATATAACCTAAAGATGACCTTGGGTTATAGGTATCATTTTTAACCTTATCATGACCTTGGCTTTACAATACCCTATTACCAAACGATTTTGACCTCGTGATACTCTTTAATCTATGATAGCCTCGGCCATTTTTAGTTTTTTCTGTTTGGCCTTGTGATACCACATAACCTAATGACATTAACCTTACGATACCCTTTAACCTATTGACCTTAACTTGTGATGTCCTTTAACCTAATGACCTTAACATTGTGATACCCTTTAACCTAATCTTCTTCTTCATCCCTATCACTACAGTATATGAAATCTATATACAATTCTATTGATATATATCTATATTGCATACCAATCAGCACACATCCTAACAACAATAATAGTCAGACATATAACAGCTTATTGATTCAAATCAATTGATTCACGCCAATGGAATAACGCCATTATAAATATTTTATAACCAATAAGCATTGTACAATGTTTCACAAAAAAATACCAATCTTAAAAACCTTTTTGTAAATTGTAAATTAATGTTTTGTAAAAGCTGTACATGCCTGACTTTCACTGTTTTTTTGGATCTTAACTTTGGATTCTGTATTTTATCACTTAAGCCAAAGCTTCGGATCCTGGACACTATGTCTCTGCACACAAAATTCATCATCTGATCATATCGTAAATAAAACGTCAAATCTACAGGTTTGGATCAAGATGAAAAAATGTCAAAAGATTATCGGGAATGACATCAGCACAACCAATCACATCAAGATATTCAAATGTTCAAAGTAAATGCAGGTAAATTTTAATTGAATGTCAACGCAGATCATCTTAATCCAGAATGTACAACAAAAGAGAAAAATAAAAGACAATTCTGAAATAAAAAGATTAATCGCATTCCTTACATTACCAGAAGATGTTTAAATGAAGTGGAACAACAAGAAAATAATGCCAAGGACCTTTAACAAAGACGCTCCAGGTCATTTCATCAACAGTGACGCCATCTTGCATGAGTTGTGCTGTGTATTTGGCCTCGTCCGCAAATCTTGATTTATTCATTACAAGCTTTGCTGAAGCCTTTTCCTGCACGATGTTTGTGCGCGAGTCGTTCTTCAGTTCTCGCTTGCCCTTCATGAACCGCACTACGGGTGATGTAGCTCCATCCTGGACATTGATCTTAACGTCGACCTTAATAGGGTCACCTGGATAAATGATAAAATGTCAATACAGAACTTCAAACAGTGATTGTAAGGCTACCTACCACAGAGAATAAGGGGATGTACCTATAATATTACTTAAGACAAAAGCAGATGCAAGCAAGAACATTATAAACATATAAAAAATACATGAAAAACAAATTGTGACGTGTCAATTTCATTCCTCAATGGTTGACACTCTCTTTTAACAAGAAGCATAAAACATAAATTCAAATCTATCATAAATTATCAAAGAAAATGTATAATGTAAAATTCAAATGTCCAATTAGTCTAACAGAATAGACAGCTGAAGACAGATTGCTTCAATGACAAAATCTCCCCAACAGAAAATCCAAAAATGTTTGTAACCAAGTTGTATATCTTTTTTCTAAAAGTGTTTAAAAACTAAATTCCTCCCATAAAAATTGTTTTCACTTTCCTCAAGTTTTCAAATAACTTACAACAACCTTTAAGGTTGCCATACCTACCCTCTACAATGACTTGGTTGTCCACCTTATTAGCGAAGGTGTGGGTGGGGCCATCGATCTTCCCAGGTTTCGGCACTTTCTTGGGTCCTTCCTGCTCATAGCCGTCATCCTGATAAATACATGGTCCATTGAAATATAAGACTTCATTGTAAATCTACTTTCTGTACACTTTTGAAGCATGCATATTGTTAAGGTCAGTTATGGCCATAACAAAGGCAAAGTACTAGGAGCAATATTTATAGTAACAATGACCTTGACTTACATAAAATTGCCAGAACACTGACGTTTGTCAATGAGACAACGCCTAACAGAGTTGTTTAAAAATGAACATGGAGAAGTTCACATTTTATCTACTCTTTGGAAATTGTGTTATTATTCAGAAATGGTGATTCAGGTGGATGGAATGACAAATGGACAGTGGCATTACAATATCCTCTTTTGACCTTTCAGTAATAGAAAAATAAAGGGCAACAACTCTACATATTGAGAAAAAAGTCCTGATTTTAAAGACTTTGTGCTATCAGCATTGCATGCCATTCTAAGAGGTACTCAAGCCATCAGAAGTTGATAATTATTGTTTGTACTTTTCTGTAAAATCATCCTTCATTTGTATTCAATGGAGGAGGAGGGGTTGGGAGTTGGGGGTTGGGGGCTGTGTGTTAAAGGGGTAGCAAATCAAAGTATAGAAAAAATGACAGGCTAACTTGAAGAATAATCAACAATTATGATTCTACCAAACTCTACAGTAGTAAGTTATTTAAAGGACTTTAAGGACCATGTGCAATGTATCTGATAAGGATTATGGTAAGAGAGCCAATGCTGTTCCTTCTAGTCTGGGTGGATACTAAGTTCCTTTACTGATCAGTTAGATAACCAGGAATATGCTGGATGATTGAGCAGTAGAGAGAGGCAGGTAAGGAATATCATAATAACAGCAGTGTCGGAGTTGGGTCTTTAGATTTAAATTTGTACGATTATAATTACTAATTACTAAATTCATTAGTAACTATCAACCGGTTTCGCCCTCTCCAGGATTCATCAGGTCATGAATGCCGGAGAAGAATAAACCATTTGATAGTTACTAATAAACTCAAAGATCCTACTTCAATGCTGTGGTGATTCATACCCCTTACCAGATTTATGTTATAACATTCAATGTCATTTGAAGGACAATCTCTCTTATTCTACAACACAGACTACACAGAATAAGATACTCACCTTCGCAGCACTTGTTTGCTCTGGAAACAAGATAATAACATAAATTAGTCAACAAGACATATGTCCATGTGTCACCACAGGAGACACCGACAAAGCATTGGCAGCACACATTTCAATTTTATCCTTTAAGGTGTTAATGGTATATATATTTTGTATTGAGGTTTATAATTTATCCATAAAGATGCATCTTGTGCAATTTGTTTACCTTTGAACAGATCTATGTGTAATAGCACTAGCTTATTGCAAATGGCCACACAAATCACATTTGAAGCAGCAAGATGTTAAGATTCATTAATTACATATTATTACTAATGAGCAATTGAAATTGTAAAGTGATGAAACAATTTCTGAGATTTACTAAAAACTTTTTCAAAAATTCATTTTGCCTTTCGAAGACCAAAACATTTGTTTATTTCATAAAGAATAAGATTCTGTGTATCAACTGCAGAGTTAAAAATAGGATTTTTTTTCACACAATTCTGGTCAGTTTTCAATTAATTAGAGGGCAAGGAGAAAATGTTAAAAATTATTGAAATATTTAAACCTGAAACAGAATTAAGGTTTAACACTGTTGTAAGCAGGTGTGAGGGGTCAAAGGTCAACAGTTTAATTGGAACAGTAAGTGGAAACAAGGAAATGATTCCATTGTTACCTGAAAAATAAAATTTACCTGAACACTGCCAATTTATCTGAAATTTATATCAGCAAGTAGTATCTACACTTTGTAGACAATATAAGTTATACATATATAATCCTTTTCCCAAAATAGCAGATGAAAATGAATTCATTTAATATCAATTATGTTATTTCACTGATATACAGAAAACATTTACTTATAATCACCAACTGAATTCTTTTCATTTTTGTTGAATTTATAGATTAATAATCGATATAACAGATAAATCCATTTGCCAAAAACTCTACCTAAAAAAAACTGTCATAAAAAATTGAAATTAAAAAAAAAAAAACAAATTATGAAAATTTACAAAATAATTAAAATAAAAATGTTTCTATAAACTACAGCATTCCCATAAGCCATAACAAACTTTACAATTCACTAGCTAGATAAAATGCATTCCAACTCAAACAATTTGTATCATTAAAGAAATAGCTGAAATGAAACACTATATGACTACTGTAATAACAAAATATAAAATAGGAATAAATTAATGCAAAAATCATAAAAAAGAAAATAAATCATAGTTCATGGCAAAAATTTAAACTCTTTAATTTCAAGTCTCAAATCTTTATACTCCTTTAACTAGATCCGATGTAACAGCAGATATTTCAATACACATCTTAACAAGTAAGTGATATTTTAATTACATGTTTCAAGAATTATTTTTCATTTTTCAGATTTTCATTTCTAAATTTTAATTTCAAATTAGCTAAATGGTTTTAATTTCTCTTAGGATCCTGAAAATAAAATGTTTTTAAATTCTAGCCTAGTTTAAAACCAGTCTTATATGAAGTCTTGGTAACCATAATGTGCTTAAACCCAGTCAAGTAATAATTTGGTGTGTTAGCTTGATGAATTTCTTCATCAAAGATGTAAGGACCAGTTTAGAATTAGAAGTACAATTTTCATTGGTTTAAATATTGCGATCAAGAAAGCAACATGAGTCAAGTTTATTTCACAGACTGTTATTTAAAAACAAATTTTTGTCTTGATATTTTTTCAACTTAAAGTTATTATTTGGGTGTTTTATTTAACACAGAACCTACATACTAAATATATATTTATAGAACATTGACTGAACAACACTGACAACCACAACACAACATCAAATACACAAAACATGTAACAAAAATAATCTTAAAATATGTGTAGATCATCATCAATTCTTGTGCACAAGATCTTGAATATAACGATGTGCAATGGCAACAAATAAATCCAAAATTAAATAAGAATATTGTAAACCAAAATACCCAAACCATACTAAGAATGACCTCAGATCTATATAGGCCGCATGCCTGACAGATGAGCATGAAGGTTGAACGCATTTGATGCGGTATCGCAGATAAAAGTCAGAGACACTGAATCAAATTATTTTATCATTTTATTTAATAACATGTTGACAAAACAAAATACAAATCAGTACATGCCAAATATAAGAGAGTTTCTACCATGAAACCATGAAATTAAGTTGGTAGATCTAAAACTGAGTGTATTGTTGAAAATACCAAATAGAAGCATCTCAAAGGGAGAATCAAGAGCTGATAGTGAGTCTGCAGAATAAATGACAGCAGAACCAAGGAACAGCAGAGTTGTATAGAAACAGCAGAGTTGTATAGAAACAGCAGAGTTGTATAGAAACAGCCATGAGAGTCTTTTGTAGTATACCCAATGTTCTCATTTGGGAATGAAACATTACTTACATGTATTGGTCAAATTTACATGATGGGTGTCATAAATGTAGCGGATGACGACTTCTCTTCCAAAACACATGGTCTTATTCTCCTTTTTCAGGATTCTGCATTTAAATCTTTCTTTTGTTCATATTTTCCCTTACTTTCTTTGAATTTGTGTTTGAAATAATTGAAGACTTTCACTAAAAAATGTGAGGGACACTCTACCTTAAATTCAAATGAGACCGGGAAAGACAACATTTTTATCATCAAGATAAGAATTCAGTTCTCTTTCAACTCTTAAAATAACAACTAGCAGCAGCAGGCAGACTAGACAAAGCTTTACAAAACAGCATATCACCAAAAACTGATAGAGAGTGAAATAAGAAAACAGCAAAATGTAAGAAACGAGAAAAACTTGATTAGAAGAGAGAGAATCCTGGTAAACTACACAACTGTTGTGTCTGTGTTACATGAAAGGTAGCATACCTCACTAACAGTGATCCAGAGGGTCCCAATCATCAGTACAAAACATACATAATGTACTGGACCAACATTTATACTCACAACACACTAATCACAAAGCAACACCAGCATGAATACGCACACAGTACGTCGCAGTACGTACTTCACTGGGAGTATGCACATAATACGTACTTCACCAGGAGTACACACAGTACATCGCAGTACATACTTCACCAGGAGTACACACAGTACGTCGCAGTACATACTTCACCAGGAGTACACACAGTACGTCGCAGTACATACTTCACCAGGAGTATGCACACAGTACGTCGCAGTACATACTTCACCAGGAGTACACACAGTACGTCACAGTACATACTTCATCACGGAGTACACACAGTATGTCGCAGTACATACTTCACCAGTAGTGTGCATACAGTACATCGCAGTTCATACATCACCAGGAGTACACACAGTACGTCACAGTACATACTTCATCACGGAGTACACACAGTACGTCGCAGTACATACTTCACCAGGAGTATGCACACAGTACGTCGCAGTACATACATCACCAGGAGTGCCAACACAGTACATTTCAGTATGCACTTCCACAGATTAACAGCAAGTGACATTACCTGTTCAGTTCTATCACAGTATGTATTCAGCGCAACAAATACTTTACACCCGATTCTGATTCTGATAAATCAGAATTTTACAACAATTTACAACAGCACATCGGAACTGACACCGCTATATGTAACCCTAATCTAATTCCTGACACTTACTGGGCCAATAGGTGGCACCACTTACCATAATCTTCCATCATGATCACTGGAATGTTTGGACGATCATCGTCCGCTTCATAACCATCCTCATTGTTAGGTCCATCGTCATTTTCTTCTATTGAGGTTGTGATTGAATGGGACAGAATTTACAGTCAAGAATATGATTGTCCTTGTGTACCACGAAAACCCACATTTTATCTCACATTTTCTTCTATGAAAACCTAGTTGGTGTTTATATATAAAAGTGTATCAATCTAGTTTTAAAAAATTTGCATTTGATTGTTGACATTAAAAAAAATAACATATTTCAAGTCATAGTGATCTTTTACAAACACAATAATACTCCAATATATATGAGTTTTTGTGGTACAAAAGTCGAACACACCCATGAAAAGGTCTTCCTACGAATCCTTAACGTACGTTTCAGTGTTATTTAAGAGTACATAATAATCAATTATACTAAATCTTTGATATTTTTTTTTTATGACTTTAAAAATTGTATTTATCATTTGACAGAAAATATGGACAACATATGTCATCTTTAAAATTATTCCATTTATCACATTATAATAAAGAAATTAATATTTGCATATTCTATTTATCAAATTATAATCTATTCTTACAGCAAATTTGAATCAGTTTTGGGTGTACAATAAAACAAGTTTTAATAATTTCTTGATCAGTACATGTTAGCTTAGTAAACAATGTGTGTTACAGCACATCGCATAAGTACGCACTAAAATCTCTAACATTAGATTTATCAATTATAGCTATTCTTTTAGGAAAATATACATACATAGATAAATATATAATATGCATATCTCTATTATTCTGTTATCACTGAAGGAGTTAAATCGGCGCTGATCAGTCATGATAGGGCAGCTGTAGCAAACGTATGCGTGATAAGTAACGTGTTTTATGATTAATTATTAATTCGTTTTGATAAGATGATGTTTTTGATTAAAATATTGCAGCTATAAGTGGAATGCTTTTTGTTATGTTAATGAAGCTGTTTACATTTTTTTAAAATAGTTTAGTCCTGTTAAACTGCATTGGATGTTTTATACTTGGTGACGATCACCATGGGAACAATTTCCTAGTGACGGTGCTGACAGCAGACAGCAGTACATGGCTATATCTACAAGGGGACGATGTGATGGTGAAGCTTACAGTACAACATCAGGATAAATCTACGTAGTCAACCTGGATGGGGACACTGGCAACATTCCATATGTTTTATAGATGGAGACCAATGCTTGTGTTAAAAGGATTAATATTCCAGTATTTCTGTCCTATATATTTGTATATGCACACGTCTGAGTTACGGGACGTGCCAATCATATGTCTAATGCTCTAGTGAGTACTTGGTTGACATTGCCCCTTGGAATCAGGTTTTTCAACAAAAATGATACAATGATAAGATAAAAACGCTTTCAATATCCATTCTGAACCAAACCGACTTAATTTCAACAATCCTACAATACTTTGACCCATGGGTAAATTTGTGAATTATCTCCCTTGTGTGTTTTTTTTTCCAAGCCAAGGGACAACATTGCATTACCATGGTTACCTTTCAAGGACAGCGTAGGGCTATTAAGCAGTGTGATCTAGTAATGTTGAGGACATGCACTTTTATAGATAGGAAGTCAACAGGATATACCCCTAGTACAAGTAACAAAAAAAAGTGTGAAAATACAGGAATGCTATAACTTTTATTTGAAATCTGGTGACATGTTATATAAATACTTGTCCAATATCAATTTCCAAGAGCAGAATTAAATCTAAAATTCTGTTTTTGTTACCAAATGGCAAAAAAAAAGGCCTACCGAAGTCTTGCAGCTGATTTTCAATAGTCTCTCAGCACAACTGCAAGCTTTCAAATAAAACATTAAATATCATATTAATTAGACAGAATGAGAAAGCAAAACTTATAAAGCTTAATTATTATGCTACAAATTAATTTAATAAATATTGATTTGAAGCCAAAATATATTTAGTAAGCATTAAACCTAGGTTATTCTCCACAATATATCATCCTGCATATCATATTAAATATTAAGGTCTACATAATTTAGAAATTTCTTACATATGTTCATATAAGTCCCTAATGAAGCCGTAGGTTGGTTATATGTGATTATAGACACAAACTTACGATATTAACATCTACATAATTATACAACTACACTACAGGTTAATGCTTTGGTTTTTGCATTCTCCACAAATATAAGTACTTGAAACTAAAAAAAAACAGGGAAAATAAAAAAAGTGTTCTTAAAGAAAAAAAATGTGATCCTTGTTGACTTCCCATAAAATGAATACCTTACCTTCCTCCAAGATGGTAGTGGGTTGCTTGGCGTATGGCTTGAGTTTCCTCGAGGCTGCTACCTTATTGGCTGTAGGAGAAGGGGGAGGGGTCAACACGAGGATGGTTATCGGGTGAGGGGTTATCGTCATAGCGACAGTTTTTTACCTGCTTTTTTAGCTTTATTATCGCCTGGTTCTATGATAGCTGGTGGTTGCACTTTAGATGCTTGTTGTTCGGGCTCCTTGATCTGAGGGGCGGGCTTTGCCTCAGGTTGTTTAGCTTTGATTGGTCGAGCATTTCATGGTTCAGCGCCACGTGGATATCGATGGAAGAGTGCCGGGATGGAGGTTGAAGGGAGAAAGAGAGTGAAAGGAAGCTACGAGTCAGTCTACTGAAACACACTAAAGCTAAGCATGGCATACAACATCTACACATAGTCATCTACACAGGAGATCTACTTCACACACGTGTGTACATCACATATATGTGCTTTCACACAGGTGTGTACACACATGTGCAATAACAGGTGTATGCTTTATAGGTGTTATACTACATGGGTGCCTTACTACATTTTGTGTACCTGACACATGTATATATTCCTCACACATGAAGAGTACACATCTGTATCATGTTCACATCATGTGTGGAAATATACATGTGTACACAACACAGGTGTATGTAACAGATGGTTATAATGTAAGTGTTCTACATAAGTCTTTATATCATACAGGTTTAACACCTATATGGGTAATTTAAACAGGTCTATAATTAAACTAGTGTATTTAACATACATGGTTATGTTCACTTAAAATAGAAATAAAATACAACCCTGTCCATCTTTAGTTGTCTCAGAAAATAATTGCCAAAAATTTCAAAAGTTTTTGAAAGTGTATTTACAAAAATTGTATCATTTGTCTGGATTTAAACAGCAGAACATAAAGCGAAACATTTTTAGCCAATCAGATGACAGGAAAACAACCTGCCCTGCTGACACTGTTCAGCATATATACTGATTGGTCAGTTGCAATCATGCATAGCAGAATTGGTGCATTGCAATATTAAATAGGCGACTTAAAGCTTGTGTGTGTATGTTCATGGACAGGGCTGTTCCTAGGCTACAGATACTAATGTGTGCTATAGTTCAATAATTTATACCTAAACAGACAGTATACCCAAACTTCAGCATATCAAAAATACATCTTTATGTAACTCTCACATATTTTTTTTTTTTTTGTATAAATCATACTAATCAAAAAAAAAATTATTCTTAAATAAAACTTCGCATCTGAATAATTTTTTTCATTTCTTTTGAATGCTGTCTTTCTTTTTATGTTTGGGTTACCATCATACTACAACAACAAGGAGAAGGCATTTATCTCTGTATACCACAGATGTAAATCAGTCAAGAAAGAAATGTTAATTTAAACTTGATAAGAAATACAATGAAAAAAATAAAAAATTACTCATATTTTGTCATCTTTTTTTTTTTCGTGTGAAATATCAAACTGGAAAACTGGATTTACAACAAACAAAACAGAGAAGAGTTTTATAAATGTACTATATTTATCATATCATAAGCCCAGGGAGCCACATCATAAATATTGACTTGGAGTAATCAGGTTTATAGCTGAACAGTGAGATTGTATTTGCTAGCATTTTCATTGAGATGCAATAGCCATAGGTGGGCTTATTACCAGACATGGGCTTAGTGACAGATAGATATGGTACCAACTACGTTACAAAATTTAGATATTTATCACACACATTTATAAAAACACCTAGAATTTTTTTTTCCATCCAAAAGGCAATCATTAGATATTATTCCACAAAACAAAATCTAGAATTTGACATTTCTCATGAAAAAAAATGATGATTGGACAATTATGGATATGAAAGAGATTGAATAAGATAAATTTGAGAATAACATCAATTTTAAAACATCTGTGGTGATACTGAGACAAGCAGCATTCTGTATACAACACATAATCTTTGCTTACAATATGGAGTTCTGACAAGAAGCCATTTCTGTTCATGTTTTTATCCCTATAACTGGAGTTTCAATTCTATATTAGCATGGAAAAATAAAGTAATATTGAAACTATTGAAAATATCAATATAGATTATTTGTCATTAAGAGTTAAATGTAAAGATATATAACTAGTATGTACGATATCATTTGTGAAACAAAATAGATATAATGCTAAATAAAATTTTGATTTTTTTTTTTTTAATTTTTCAAAAATATAGTTAAAATTTCATTTTTTATTTTGAAATTTCATCATCAGAAATAGCTCCTTTTCTTTGAAACAACTACAAATAAATTTTAAGTAAAGTTTGAGGTGTAGCTTTTGAACAATGTTTAGATTGGAAGCATGGCATTGTAACAGTAATTGGATTGAGGGCTTTTTTTCTAACGCAGTGAAGGTAACAGGAACGCATACAAAAAAAATTGTAATTAACAAGTGTAAGAACTAAAGAACTTCTGTTACCATGAAAACATGCTTTTGAAAAATTTCTCTAAAGGATTAATTTCAACTAAGATTATTTGAAAGAAAAAAAATTGGAAGAAAATTTTTAGCAGAAATAAACTATTAAAATCCACATGATACCGAGTCTAAAATGTCAAAATATTTTAATCTAGATTTTTTTTTTTTTAAAATCCAATCAATGGTGGGCACACTGGTCAAACAACAAACAGTCTAATTCTGCACTAGATAATGCATGTCTACTCTCATCGTAAACAGGTCTAGAGCAAGCTACCAGTTCCAAATGAAAATACGGACCAGTCACATCACGCAAGACAAGGCTAAATCACCAGCATACCACTGTCAAAAATTAAAACTTGTCGCTAATGAGCTAATCATCAAGTGCTATTTCTATCTAAAACAATTAGCAGGTCACTGCTTCACTTCGCTAAACAGCTAAAATTATCATCGCTAAACATCTAACACATAATACTAGAAGCTAAAGTCCTATATTTCAAATTATTGGGTTTATATAACAAGAACTAATCACCTGGCAATAATTTAGCACACACTGTCAAAATAAAGTATGCATTCTCATACCAATCTTCATGCATGAGCCTTTTTTTTATGACTTGATGCCAAGAAATTTATTCAAAATCAATCCCAATTCAAAATAAAAAAATACAAAATAATTATAAATGCCAATATTCAACAAAAATTTTTTGTCAGGTTTTGTTGAGAGACTGTGATGAAATCTGATTTTCATATGTTTTTTATTATGAAATAAATACTTGTAAGATTTATTTCTATGGAAATCTTCGCTCTATTACTGATTTCCTGTACATTTATTTGTAAAGCCTTCGCAGAATCAGGCAATGTTAGATTTAGGGAGACAAGTGCAACAAGTTTAACATGAAGATTGGTCACATGATGAAGGAAGGGAACCCTAAAAATAAGATATCAAAATTAAGAAATAAACGATAATGAGGAAATATCAACAATGTACCTTTCGGATCTTCTTGTTTCTTGTCCTGGAAAAATAAAACAAAATCATTCAATAGAAAACAACATCAGATCTTTATAAATAAAAGATCAATAAAGCTACTATTAAATGGATTCACTTTCTTTAAAATTTGAACCTACTGAACAAATCTCTTCACATCTATCAGAATATGTCAGTAATTAAGTGGTAAAAGTTAAACATAATATAGTTTTATCAACATCATAAAATTTTAAATGATCTTTCCCCAAGGATTTTTTTGAAAATCTTTTTCAAATCAGTTCTGTTATGAGAAGATAAATTCTAGAATCAATAGAAGGATGAAACAGATTGCATGATCTGTTTCACTTTATAAAACCAAACAAGCTTAAATGCCTCCAAACCTCCCCTCCCTTTTACTAATGGTAAAGTAACACACTGACAAGTGTCAGATTTCCACCCCTCATCTCTACAATAATAAACAAAATTACATGTGATGGAAAATGTCAATCCAATCATAGGTAAAGTAAATAAACTACAAATAACTTCTCAATTATATCTAACTCAATCATAAATGCAATGAATAGCAGCCATCAAAATGACATTAACAAATAAACCGTCAAAGTACACCCCAGACATCAAACTCTATCCTAATACACCCCAGACATTAAACTCTATCCTAATACAATTCCGGGACAGCAAACTCTACCATTTCCAGATATCAAAATTCTCCTAACATATTGCAACTCCCTGGATATTTAATGTAAATAGAAATCTAGACAAATGGCTACAACTCTGTATACACATTGTACATTGTATAGTCCATATACACTTTTTTCCAACCAACAATTTCCTGTACGAGAACTTTTACAGTAATTTTACAAATTTGCAATAGATTTCTCACAAAAGTTGTTACAGTATTGCCCAATAGAATAGTTTCTGTGATCAAAGAAAATCTGATTTTGAAGTACAGGAAAGTTTGCTCACAGAAACCTCTATAGCAGGGTTTCATCCCTGGTCTTTTTTAAATCTCTTTACTGATTTTTGAAGAGCTACCGTACAAATATTTCAAGTACTTTGCATAAGTGACTGTATTCAACCATCAGCATAGAATGACAACCAATGCCATTGACCAAAACGCATGATATTGAATTTCAATGTTGGAAATTTTGATCACAACATTTGTACTATAAAACAAATGGTGACGAGAAATTTCCATTTCAAAAAAAAATGTTCAAAGTACTGTAGAATTTTTGAGTGGGATAGATTTTTGTAGATTCAAGTGTTCTCTTGATCCAGGAATTCATAAGTCCATGAACATAACCTATATTTATCCGCAAAATGAAATGTCAATTGAATATTAAATTTTTGAAAACCATGAAAATTTCGCCCCACAAAAATTTGTAATATTACAGTATATATGATATTCAACTTAGGCCAAAACAAAGGCTTACCTTCTTGCCCTTTTGGTCCTGCTGTGGGTTATCTGAAAAAAAGGGGAAAAAACTATGCTGTATATATTCATTAACAAATGATTATCATGATTTACAAATTAGATTTCTTGATTCCGTTATTTTTTGTACTTTCTAGTCAATATGAATTTTTTTAATGGGCAGACTATGTATCACATTTATCATATAAAATTACAATTCATATCTGTATTACACTTAACAGACCCTAATCATATCTGATCCCTACCTTTGACAGACAGACTAGCCATACACATATCTGACACTTACCTTTGACAGACAGACTAGCCATACTCATATCTGACACTTACCTTTGACAGACAGACTAGCCATACACATAGCTTATACCTACCTTTGACAGACAGACTAGCCATACACATATCTGACACTTACCTTTGACAGACAGACTAGCCATACTCATATCTGACACTTACCTTTGACAGACAGACTAGCCATACACATAGCTTATACCTACCTTTGACAGACAGACTAGCCATACACATATCTGTCACTTACCTTTGACAAACAGACTAGCCATACACATATCTGACACTTACCTTTGACAAACAGACTAGCCATACACATATCTGACACTTACCTTTGACAGACAGACTAGCCATACACATATCTGTCACTTACCTTTGACAAACAGACTAGCCATACACATATCTGACACTTACCTTTGACAAACAGACTAGCCATACACATATCTGACACTTACCTTTGACAGACAGACTAGCCATACACACATCTGACACTTACCTTTGACAGACAGACTAGCCATACACATAGCTTATACCTACCTTTGACAGACAGACTAGCCATACACATATCTGTCACTTACCTTTGACAAACAGACTAGCCATACACATATCTGACACTTACCTTTGACAAACAGACTAGCCATACACATATCTGACACTTACCTTTGACAGACAGACTAGCCATACACATATCTGACACTTACCTTTGACAGACAGACTAGCCATACACATATCTGACACTTACCTTTGACAGACAGACTAGCCATATATCTGACACTTACCTTTGACAGACAGACTAGCCATACACATATCTGACACTTACCTTTGACAGACAGACTAGCCATACACATAGCAGACCCTGCAACATTCTTTACTTCCACTTGGTAGTTTCCAGCATCCTCTGGGTACACCTCTGGGAAGTAAAGACGACATGTTCCCTTGTCGTAGGAGATTTTGTACACATCAGAAGCAGCAAGAGGCTTATTGTCTTTGAACCATGTAACTTCTATCGGCTCTGTACCAGTCACCTTGGCGATAAGGTCAACAGCATCCCCATCAACGACATTCTGTAAAAAGAAGACGTCAATGAAAATTCAAATCATAAATAAAACTTTCCTTTCAACAAATGAAAACTAAGGCTTATAAAGTGAGATATATACGACTGGAGATGTTTCGGCTGATCTTACTTTTGGGGAGAGCTTCTGCGAGAATTTGGGTGCTTCTCCCTTGATCTTTGGTTGAAGGGCTGCAAGATAAGACATTAATTAAGCATTGATAAGTGAAATACAGATTGCATAAAACATAATTTCCTCCAAAGAAAATTAACCGATCGTACAACAAGCACTAATAAGATATTCACAGATATATATATATATATATACACAGAACATATATGTGATATGTACACACTGACTACCCGCTAAAGTAACATTGCTGGTTCTGTTCCTTGGATTTACACCATATACTGATCTTTATGTTTACAACCTTCTCATTAATACATTACAAACAGCCTGTATACATTACAGCCAGCCTGTATACATTACAGTCAGCCTGTATACATTACGGTCAGTCTGTATACATTACAGCCAGCCTGTATACATTACAGTCAGTCTGTCTACATTGCAGTCAGTTTGTATACATTACAAACAGCCTGTATACATTACAGTCAGTCTGTATACATTACAGTCAGCCTGTATACATTGCAGTCAGCCTGTATACATTACAGTCAGTCTGTATACATTACAGTCAGCCTGTATACATTACAGTCAGCCTATATACATTACAGTCAGTCTGTATACATTACAGCCAGCCTGTATACATTACAGTCAGTCTGTATACATTACACCCAGCCTGTATACATAACAGTCAGCCTATATACATTACAGTCAGCCTGTATACATTACAGTCAGTCTGTATACATTACAGCCAGCCTGTATACATCATAGTCAGTCTGTATACATTACAGCCAGCCTGTATACATCATAGCCAGCCTGTATACATTACAGTCAGTCTGTATACATTACAGTCAGCCTGTATACAATACCTTTGAAGTTAACTTTGGCATTGGCAGTTGCCTCTCCTCCTGGGTTCTTCAGGACACATTTGTAATCTCCTGTGTCAAGGTCAGACGGCTATCAAGAAAAGAATAAACACTTCTTACACAAAAGACTGGGCATATCTATCTTAACACATTCTTGGGAGTTATACAACTGTCAGGGACATATCTATCCTAAAAAAGTCTGTGGGAACAATTGTCATCAGGTAAGTTAAATAACACAAGTTGCTAAGATGAGATAGATAATGTTTACTCTTTTAATCAGAAGCTTTACTACAAGTCTGGGTATAAAAACTTACATTGGTGATTTCCATGACAGCAAAGTAGCAGTCATCTTCATGGGCTATATCCAGGAAATAGCGACCCCCAGATTTAATAGGCTTGTTCCCAAAGTACCACATTGCTGTAGGCTTGGAGGCTGATGCTACCTTCAGTTCCATGACAAGGCGCTTTCCTCCATCTTCAAGCTTAATGGAAGGTGGGCCCTTCAACATTGGAGGGGCTTCTTTGCTTCTACAACACATAATTATAAACAACAATTAGAATTTTTATTAACAATTTACAATTTTAGAGGAGATTACATTCCATTTCAGAAAGTTAAATCTTTGAATAAGTATGTCTATTAATCACCTGAAATACAAACTTTATACCAAACAGTTACAGAGATATGACATTTCTATAGATTATGACATTTACGATATAAAAAAGTATTTTAATAAAACTATGTATCTACACGTTCTTATTTTAGGAGTATAGCATGCTAATCATTATAATATTCTTTAGCTAAAAAGTTTTGTTTTTTTTTTTAAATGGTACAATATAAACAATGACATCTCCATTTTGATAATGAAATATAGTTTGCCAGTGTTGTTTGTCTAGCACAGGTGCTGGTTGGGGAACTATCATCTGTGTAAAAATTAATTAAAAATTCTGACTTCTCTGTACTGTGGAAGAAAAACATGAGAACATCAACCGTTGAAATGTTAAACACACTGTCAGTGAGACCATCTGGTTTTTCTGTTTTTAAGTACAAAGTATGAAACTCTGAAGGACAACATCTATACCAGTTACTTTAGCGATAATTTACAACAATATGATATTGTCAGTATCAATTAATTCTCTACAGTTTTTCATAGATACAGATAAACATCATGAACTGATTATACAAACATGCATAAAAGTTAAGAGATATGATGGTATGGCCTCCTGTCATCAGTTAAGACAATATATATATATGTAAGGTTTTAATGTATTTTGACTTTCACAAATACTATGTGCATCTACTGGCCAAGGCAATATCATTGGAAATAATGCTTATAACTACAATTAACAGGCAAAATTAGTGAGTACAAGAGTACAAATACAGGTCTAGTGTTTAGAACTACAGCTGTAAAACTACAGTACAGTCAGGTCTTGTGTTTAAACCTATAGCTGTAACACTACAGTACAGACAGGTCTAGTGTTTAGAACTACAGCTGTAAAACTACAGTACAGACAGGTCTAGTGTTTAGAACTACAGCTGTAAAACTACAGTACAGACAGGTCTAGTGTTTAAACTTATAGCTGTAACACTACAGTACAGACATGTCTAGTGTTTAAACTTATAGCTGTAACACTACAGTACAGACAGGTCTGGTGTTTAAACTTATAGCTGTAAAACTACAGAACAGGCAGGTCTGGTATTTAAACTTATAGCTGTAAAACTACAGAACAGGCAGGTCTAGTGTTTAAACTTATAGCTGTAACACAACAGTACAGACATGTCTAGTGCTTAAACTTATAGCTGTTACACTACAGTACGGACAGGTCTAGTGTTTAAACTTATAGCTGTAACACAACAGTACAGACATGTCTAGTGTTAAAACCTATAGCTGTAACACTACAGTACAGACAGGTCTAGTGTTTAGAACTATAGCTGTAAAACTACAGTACAGACAGGTCTAGTGTTTAGAACTACAGCTGTAAAACTACAGTACAGACAGGTCTAGTGTTTAGAACTACAGCTGTAACACAACAGTACAGACATGTCTAGTGCTTAAACTTATAGCTGTTACACTACAGTACAGACAGGTCTAGTGTTTAAACTTATAGCTGTAACACAACAGTACAGACATGTCTAGTGTTTAAACTTATAACTGTTACACTACAGTACAGACAGGTCTGGTGTTTAAACTTATAGCTGTAAAACTACAGTACAGACAGGTCTAGTGTTTATACTTATAGCTGTAACACTACAGTACAGACAGGTCTGGTGTTTAAACCTATAGCTGTAACACAACAGTACAGACATGTCTAGTGTTTAAACTTATAGCTGTAACACAACAGTACAGACATGTCTAGTGTTTAAACTTATAGCTGTTACACTACAGTACAGACAGGTCTGGTGTTTAAACTTATAGCTGTAAAACTACAGTACAGACAGGTCTAGTGTTTATACTTATAGCTGTAACACTACAGTACAGACAGGTCTAGTGTTTAAACCTATAGCTGTAACACAACAGTACAGACATGTCTAGTGTTTAAACATATAGCTGTAACACTACTTTATAAATAGGAGTGGTTTTAAACTGATACCTATACTGCTACAATACATAGACATTAAAAGTACCAAGGCAGAGACAAAACAACTATTCACAATGCAGACTTCATTAAACCTGTAAGAAAATGTCTGCCCACATATCTGGGGGAAGAAAGGCGGTGAACTTTAGTGTCTATAATATAAACAGGTAGCAGAGTTGCCCCATTCACTGCCGACCTACAGTTACATCAAAGGGTACCAGTGGTAGGCCTGAAGCTAGGTTCACTTTGTTCCTTTTTCTACCAGTTATATCCAGTAAAATGATTGACTTAATGGGTCTGTGTGTAGCAACACTCACAAGAAACAGGCTAACAGTCTAACTCAGCATATAGATCATCAGTATTTTCTCTAAATTTTACCATATCCTATATGAAGCGAGGCAGTCTTTACTATCAAAATGGGAAAGCTACAGTATATACCACTGTATGTACAGACTTCTGTATGTATAGATTTCTGTATGTATAGACTTTTAACAAAATACTGTTTGGAACAGTGAATACATCTGTGATATGATTTACATATCTATATATTTCTGAAGATAATACAGAAACTATTAATTAAAGAAATAAAAATTTCTCCATTAATAAATTATCGATGGTGTATATCAAAAAATAATTATTTACATTTATAATTGCATGAAATTATGAATAAATATAGATATGGTTAATGGCAAACCTCAAAGATTTCATTCAGTTGATTGTATATGGTCTCTTTATTAGTAGATTTCTACATGTTCTTATTCTTAATGACAGTCTTAAAATTACATTTTAAAAATAGAACACAGGTATTTCTATCCTGAATGACTTTATCGAGAAATTTGTTCTCTATGTGGAGGTAATCAGTCAGTCTGACATTGCGTATTGTTTTAATAGTATTATATAGCAAAAAGCTTTCTGTATATTGTGTTGTTATCCCTGAGTTGATACTTACGAGAAATGAGCAGCTAGCAGTTGGTACCTGCCCAGTCCATTCATTCTGTTAGTCATTTTCAACTTTGATGTTATTCCTATAGAAGTTTTACAGAGATCTCTAATACTTCACATCCATAGATTGATCTACCACACAAATGTCAAATTCCAAGAGTTAGTGGGAACCAACCGTAACACCAGTAAGTTCCCTGAAACAGTTCTAGCCTTCCCTGACATCCAAAAATCATGTAAAATATTTAACACCAGTGAATTCCATTTTGTAGATTGGACGAAATGGAAAGCTTCAGAGCCTGACTGAGTAGCTACAGTAGCAGCAGATGATGTGGTCTACCCTACTATATTGGGGAGGGGGTTCCACAGCCTACCTGCAGTACATCCTCCCATACTAACACCAGATTGTGGCATTTAACATTCAGAATTAGATCTCAACCAACAGCCTGCACTTTTAATAGGTTTTATTCATTTTACATTCAAAAGGCAGGAATTCCATAAAAACGACAATAAACATCAGCAGATTCCATGTCTGTGGCAGTATGGCCACCCCAGGGCTGTCTAAATAAACTCCTTCAGATATGTTAGCTTAACACAAATGAATTAGATTCCTTAAAGTAGGTTTATCTAGAACACTGAACTTCCATGTTTTTGATATCTTTTAAAAAAATCTCAAGAGAGAATTGTTTTTTTCCCGAAGTTTTGGTATTAGATGAAGTCAGGAAGACAAAACTACAAGAGGTCAACATCATTACCACGAAGATTGTGTGCTAATGCTACTGAAGTATGCGTCGTGTAGACTGTAAATACTGCATGCATTTTAATCTATTCACTAGAAATACTGAAACTAATACATGTATTTAAGATAGACTTGATCTACCAGCTATCTATATACACAAAACTATAAATAGCCCTCGTCATCATCACAGTGGATGTTGGAGTTAGATATCAAACACAACATCAATACACAATATCAAGTATAGGGGTGATACTACGGATCCCACATCTGTGTCAATGTTACAGAACTTACTAAACTATAGTCAAATCGTTTCAAATGTCATCAGCTATCAGCCTTTTTTTCAAAATTCAAAACCACATTGACACTTGTGTAAGATTCCCTTTATCACATTTTGTAAAGGTTCTTATATTAGAGGGGTTCAATTTTCATTATTTTTGATATAAAAATTTCTTCAGAAAAAAAAAATTTAAGAGTAGCCCATAGCCTGTTTAATGGCTTCCTTGAAAAAAACATCCATTTTTGTTTTTGGTAAAACTGCAAAAAAATTTGAACTCTCCAATATATCAAACCTTTACAGTTACTCAAACTTAAGTTCTCCAAAATCAATGTCCTTGTGAGACAGGTGAATATTGACTTAGGTCATGCATTTTTCTCCATTTATGGCATCACCGGTATCGATTACAATACACACAGTGTATATGACAGTGGGCTTTACATGGCAGCTAGCTAGGGCAATTGGAAGTTATAAACAAATATCTATATACTTGAGATTCCGACACTTTCTTGGGGATATTAGATAATGGTATTGTCACTTTTTGAGTAGACAACTGAACTCAATATTTGAAAGTTAGTGAACCAATATGGGTATAACAGGCCCAATGGGCCCAAATCACTCACCTGTTCATAAGCTTACACAGAAGATTGTCAGTTCAATAAGTCAATTTCTGTACACTTAAAAACATGTTTCTCAAGAATGCTACTGTACAAATTCCATGACCTCAGATGTGTATTACTTGTTAAAAAGACGAAATTTTAAATTGACGAATGTCACTGTGAGGTGGGTTAAGATCATTTATCAATACGCTTGATCTTCTGGTTTTATAACTGAGAAGTCATTTGAGGGCTTAACATATTTGGCCCTGTGATCTTTAAAATGGGTCTAGATCAGTCATTTGAACAAACTTGGTAGCCCTTACCCTCAACATGCTACAGGCCAATTTAGCACTCAGGGCTTTTTGGTTGTTGAAAAGAAGTTGTTTGACCCCTGTGCCTTGGAAGGTGGGTCAAGGTCATTCATATGAACAAACTAAGTAACACCACATCAAAGCTTGCTACAGAACCAATACCGACAGCTTGGGCCTTTTGACCATTGAGTAGAAGTCATTTGAAAATTTAAAAAGATTTAACTGCTCTGATCTTGAAAGTGGGTCAAGGTCATTAATTTGAAAAACTTGGTAGCCCTCCTCCATTCCTGCATGCTGCAGGCCCAATATCAGCACCCTTCATCCTTGGCCTTTTCAGATATTGAGAAGAAGTAGTTTGAATGGAGAAGTCTGTATGGATGGACAACAGACACAAAATGGTTAGCAGATGGGGATCAGCTGACTACAAAAGGATGATGGATACATGCTATGTCAGGTGAGCTAATAACTATGTTGGTTCATCATGATTCCACAAAATTTTCTCCCCAACAAAATGACCTCAATCTCAAGTACTACACAATATTGACAATACAGGCAGTGGTAAACTGTAGTTGGACACCGTGACACATATATGTTTAGGTGCTGTTGATGGAGTATGTATTTAGGGACGTATTCAGGGTGCACCCAATAAATATATATATATACACATATCATTTTACCTTTTTTTCAGCCTGCAAGAAAAGTCAAATAACACAAATATAAAACATGTTTTTCTATCTACAAAGTTATCATTCTACCACTGCAATAAAACGAGATCTTCCTGATGGCTAACAACTACGTCTGCAGTCTAAGGCATTCTTCACTGCAACACCTTCAACGCTAAATCTAGACTACAGCTCATTCCTCACTGCAACACCTTCAACGCTAAATCTAGACTACAGCGCATTCCTCACTGCAACACCTTCCTCACTATCTGTGACCTGTAGCATGTTCCTCACTGCAACACCTTTTACGCTAAATCTATACTATAGCGCATTCCTCACTGCAACACCATTAACACTATCCCTAGGCTAAAGCGCATTCCTTACTGCAGCGTCCTAATGCTGTATTTTTAGCCTAGCGCATGTGGCACTGCACCACCAACAGCTGTTTTAGTATTTTAGCCTAGCGCATTCCTTTTAATCCCACTATTGATATTCTATATGACGAAAAGAAAATTCCTTTGTTATCCGAACATAGATATTCTATCTGAAGCCTAGCGTAGTCTTTTTTATCCCAACTTAGATATTTCATCTGAAGCATATCATTTTCATTCTTATCCCACCCTACGTATTCTCTTTGAAACCTTGTGTATTCATTTTTAATCCCAACCTAGATATTCCATCAGAGGCAAAAATGCATTTCCTGTCATCCCTTGTTACTCTACCCGCAGCAAAGCATATTTTTTTATATTCTGCCTTTTATATTCCATCTGAGGCATAGCATATTCCTAGTTTTGATGCTAGTGATTGTATCAGTAGCCTAGCGCAATTAAAAACTGCAACGCCCGAAACACTGTCTATGTACCCTAACATACGTCAAACTACATCCCCCTGTATATCCGAGACTGTACATAGTGCTTAATACAACAAGTAGTCTCTTATCATTATAGACAAAGTAACTCAAGCAAGTCTTAATATTATTATCTGCATACTAACTACACTTATTTCATAAAACACATGATAATTACATTTCTAAATGCATTTCAAAGAAGAAAACCTACATTCCAAAGAAACTTACGGCTGTTTATCGTCCGAATCACTATTTATTAAAAGAAAACCATTTAAGTGAGAAATTCATTTTGTTCGTTAAAAATATTCAATATCTTAAACATCCCATAGATACCATATGTTGCACCATTCATATTCCAAAATCTAAGATATTTACAGGATGAATTTGTCTACATCCCCACTAGATCTACAGACTTATCAACCAAAAACAGAATGATACATCTCAAAGACAAATAAAATTATACACTTCATCTACAGGACTCCTAAACAATAGAATTCAACTGTACACATCTACAAGACACCCAAACCATAGAATTCAACTGTACACATCTACAAGACACCCAAACCATAGAATTCAACTGTACACATCTACAAGACTCCCAAACCATAGAATTCAACTGTACACAACTACAAGACTCCCAAACCATAGAATTCAACTGTACACATCAACAAGACACCCAAACCATAGAATTCATCTGTACACATCTACAAGACTCCCAAACCATAGAATTCAACTGCACACATCTACATGACTCCTAAACCATAGAATTCAACTGCACACATCTACAAGACTCCTTAACCATGGAATTCATCTGTACACATCTACATGACACCTAAACCATAGAATTCATCTGTACACATCTACAAGACACCTAAACCATGAAGTTTGACGGTACATCTACAAGACTTCCGACACTGTGGTAATCTATGTATATCAAACACATTTGTAGTCTCCACATGTGACCTACAGAATTTGACAACTACTACTATTGATGGTGTCAAGTTTATTTACAATCTGAAAAATTAGGATACTAAAATGTTTAACTGGGGAGTTTACCGACCACAGATAAGGAAAAGTTTATAGGAACCAGTGATTAGTTTAGGAGCCTGCTGCCCTACTATCTCTCTATTCATCTTTCTCATTTTATCAGTGTCTGTGTCAAACCAAAAAAATCGCTAGTGTTTTAGAAATGTATAGTATATATGTGTACATGTCAAAATGTTTTTAAAAATTCTATTTCAATTTTTATATTACATTTGATAAAACTGTGCCGTTCAGATTGATGTCATATTGATAAAAACATAAGCATCCTTCAATTTGATATTTTCTTTATTAAACCGAGACATTTTTTATTTATGAAAAGTGTATTCCTAGTATACATTAAGTTTTTTATCAAAAAATTTTACAATTAAAATACAAAAAGATGGAAATTTTTCAAACTTTTTGTTCAGTTTCCTCTGCCGTTCTATATAATCTACACAATAAACAACAAGCTATTTTCTAGTTAAATACTTTATCTTTCCTTGACAATTAAATTAAATAACGTATCTAGCAATCATATCATACATACGATTCATGCCACTTTTGTCAATTAGCATTCAATTTATTTGGGAATTGAATAAGTTCTGATTACAAAAAACATCTCTCCGCGCTTCTTAACAATTACTGAAATAATTAAATGTGATGTGTATCACTTGGAGATCACATCTACCATCTTATATCAGCCTCAAAAATCTGCTCTAATAGTTTTACTGAATCTACTCATCACCATCTTTACTAACATGTTTAAATTACCTGGCAGATCTAGTTATCAACCCACAGATCAATGTAAGCCACACAGTAAAACCCACACTATATCAATCAAAATGGTTCTAAGACTGCCATTATCTTTCTATAAGCTCCGAGACAGAAAACTCTCTCAACTGAAGACACACGACTGCAATGTACACCAAAGTATACCCTCAAGTCTGAAGAAATTCTAATCCACTCTGCATTATTTACACTAATTAGAAAAGTTCAAACAATCAAACTTACCCCTCAAGGTTGACGGTGACTGTGGCGTTACCCTCGCCGTGGTCATTCTTGGCAGTGACTTTGTACTGACCACTGTCTTTTGCCGTGAAACTCTACAAATATAATCAGAACATGATTTTTAACTGAATTGCAAGGTTAACTGTACATGTTTGTTGGTTTTATCATCCTGTGAAATACCAGGATCATTTTTAGGCCGGATTTCATTGTATCAGCTGGTGGCTGCCTCACTGAACAACTTACAAGAGGCCCATCGCATGTCATCCAGAACTATTTCAGTTAAGTGTCTTGATATAGGACACAACCATATCACCACTTGACTAGCCAATTTCTCAGCTTCCTGAGAAACACTAACCACCACAGGTAGGCAGTATCAAACCACGCACCTCAGTTCTTCAGCCAAGGTTACGTTGTCAAAGACTCTACCGACTGAGTTATCAAAGCTCCTTCAATACAACATGTGTATATGAAAAAAAATCTTGGTAGAGGTTGTGCATGTTTGTCCGTTTTCACCTTAAGGAATTATATGAAATTCTGGAAACTCGCTATCATTTCAATATTAATCCTTATAGATTAGTTACATTGACTTTAACGAACAAAAATTGCACTAAGTTTGAATAATTTTTTTATTTTCTTTTATGTCAACATGGCTTAGCTTTTATCACAGCCTCACTGTTCTAGTGCCACTATAGTTGGTTACTGCTGGCATCATTCAGCAAACATTTAACATACAATATCTTTTTAATACATAAATATGAAATATATCTATAAGTAACAAAAGGGTTTAATTTAAAGCTATGTAAGGAATTAATCTGTTACTGAAGATTCAAAAATCCTACTTTTCAGATTTTGGCACTAGGCATTCTAAGGAGGATTATTAATTTTAGTCAAATTGAGTGTAGTGATATCAAAAAAAGTTTCCATTCCAATCTTAAGGCCATGTGTTAAATGTCAGGTGAAAACGTTTCACGATTTTTCTAACAAATTACTGATGTTATCATGGCTGTGTATGAGAGTGCAGAGTTAGTTTATACACTAATGTAACTCACTGCTGATTGAACGGAAACCATCACCAAAAAGAATAAACTAACTTCAACTCTAAATCTCAATTCCCGAGACAAATATTACAAATTTTATCATTGAATTACCAAATATACTATTTATGTAACAAATTCTCCTCTGTATCAGCTATTTGATCATAAATATTCAAAACATCATAATTTAACCACATGATCAGTAAGGATAGTTTTTTGCTCCAATGATAAATATAAGTTATATCTTCTTGTAACTTAAACATGAGCCAAAATGTATCCAAATATATCCCAACAAACCCTTCACATACCTATAAATAATTCTATATTTTGTGCTGAGTAATCATTTTAACAACTCAATTTACGATGGCTGTATAAAAGCACCACACATAGTATATATCTCACTTTTCTAATGGTTTTCACATTTCAATCATTTTCTGAAACAGGAAATCTGAAGCAGGAATTCGAATTATTTATATAGGAAGTTGATTACATATACACATGTATATGTACTTAATCGGCAAGAGGAACAAACACTGCTTAGTCCAAACCGAACTAGTCATATAAAAATTGTCCGAACAGAATCTATAAGAACCAATGGGTTGTGCTACTAGACCTGAGGTAATACAGGTTTTCATAAATGGTACTGTTATTTCAACTTTGATTTACAACATCGAGAGTTCCTACGTTAAAAATAAATTTTTATAGTTCTTAACGTAAATCAGAGTTTTTCAGTGTCACTACATCTAGTCATCTAACATCTGGTTATATAGACGTTTAAAATCACGGGCAGAAGGGTGTTTTAATGAGTCAAAAATGAGAGAAAAATACCTTATAATCAACTCTGTTGAGTATCTATAAACTCTGTCTGTAAATGACTTTTTTTCGTAATGGTTAGACATTGGTGTAACCCTGTTAAATACTAGCTGTAAAATCGCTCAAGAGATCTTCCCTTTAACTGGATTGGTTGAGCATAAGACTAATAGTAAGCCAGAGGTTCTGAGTTTGAATCCTACCCATCCCAGTAAACTAAATTATGACCTTTGTCACATTTTGACTTAATTAGATCTAAAAATTGATTCTGAAATTTTTTAATACTGATAAAATGTAAAGATATATCTGTTCTAGCAGTTTATCGTGGTTTAAGCAGGTTCTGATCAAAATCATGTAAGTTGGAGATATCATGTTTCTCTTGTCTGTTTAAAATATCATATAATTGGCAGTAACCATGGTCTCCACAAACGTTTACTAAATCTGACCACTGTATCATCTATAGGTATTTTTCTATGGACTGTAGTGTGTAAGTATCCTTACCATAACATCCAAGAACAACATGTGTTCATCGCCTTTGTCTGTTGTCCTCATCTTGTAACGGAAGTTTGGAGTAATAATCCTGTTATCTTTGAACCAGGTGACGATGGGCTTGGGGTTAGCCATACATTTACATTCAATGACAAGGTTCTTATTCTCTTGGTTCACCACTGGTTTGTCTGTGAATGTAGGCGGGGTTCCTGCAGGTTTCGGCTTAGCACCACCTGTAAAATACAAATGGCAATTTTTGTCTTTCACTTTATGGGAAAATTTTTTTTTTTTTTAATTATGCATTAGTCAAAGAATTATAACATAGGATCTGCAGATTTGTACCTCATAAGGCTTCAGATAGAATGTTCACAACAATAAAGTGTTCCTTCGAAACAAGAAAATGCCTCTCTGAATTATCACAATACTTTTAACAGAAATCACACGACAGCATGACTAGACATTGTACATGATCATCAAACACCCAGCCAAAGCACTTCAATAACACAGATTTAAAATTTCTTTTATTAACCTACAATACACCAATACTGTACCAGGATTTTCAAATTGAGAATATTTCACTGGAAACCAAGATTATTACACCTACCCTGGAAGTTGAGGGTGATGTTGGCGTTAGATTCCCCAAGGTCATTGGCCGCAGTACATTTGTAGGAACCTCCATCTTCTGTCTGAGGATCCTGAAAGCAACAAAGACAGAAAATTTAGAACAACTTACTTGGGTACAAATTCTAAAACTGTAGGGTATATCATATACTGAGTGATCGCAGTCTGCCTAATAAGACCACCTGAAATTACAGGTTTTTTGTTTAGTTTATTGTTGCTTGTTGTCCTGTCAACAACCAGGGTCATTTAAGGATGTGCCAGGTTTGGTTGGTGGGGGAAAGCCGGAGTGCCCAGAAAAAACCACTGACCTGTGGCCAGTACATGGTGACTGCCCCATGTAGGGCTGGACCCCGTGAACCAGAAGAGGAGGGCTAGTTATAAGGACAACTAGAGGTCTTAACCACTCAACCATCATGGCCCATTCATTTTCTTTTTTTTTTAAATGTTTGTCTTAAACAAACAAAATGTGATGGATACAACCAAAACGTGTTAAATTATTTGATTCGTAAATAAATCTGTTTTCTTTTTTTATGTTTGTTTATGTTTGTAAGGTTGAGATAGAGAAAACTACCACCTACTGTAAACAACATGTGTTATAAACACATACTGAATATCCTAGACAGCCATTATCATACTCAATTACAGTAAGTACTCTCTTCTTATAAAAATGTGTAAGACAAGTATTTGTTTTCAAACAATTATCATAAAAATAGGAAGAAACTATGTACATATTTCATTGACTGACTCTATACAGCCCTTGAATCAAAGATTTTACACAAATGAGACCTTGGCCTTAACGCTAATGTATCTACTGACAAGAATTAAGGAAATAATGAAGAATTAAGTACTACATTAAAAAGCCTTGTGATCCTCAGCCCTAATCAACATTAATTTGACAAAGGAAGGATACATCTGGGGAAGATATATGATATAGCCAGTCTGGTAATTCTCTGAGGGTAAGGGAAATAGGCAGTAGATCAGTTGATAGATCTTCTCTCCAAATTACAATTTTTGTTATGATTTAATCAAGTCATACATAAGCTTTAATTCAATGTTCATCAGTCAGCTTTCTGCAATGTTTAATGACCAAACTATCGTAAGATCTTGATAATCTGATCCAAGTAAACAGTCAGGTGATATGAATCATTCTCTAAACTACTGAAATTCAGAAAAAAAATTCAACCAATGAAATTAAGGGAATCAAAGCTTACACCAATCAAAATACAGGAAACAAAACTTCAACCAATCAAAATATTGAAAAAAAACTGCTACCAATCAAAATTTAGGAAATTGAACAGCCAGATCATTTCAAGTCTAGTGAACAACATATAGGAAGCCTGTCACATGCCTTCCAAAGCAGATCAGTAGGATAAAATATCTTGCCAAGGGAGATAACCACACCATCTCAGACTAGATTGTTTCCCAGATTTGTGAGTGACACAAACTGCCATGTGTACCACTGTGATCATCATACCAAAATCCTTGGAACTTCAACTGAGGTTGCGTGATCCAATGATCTCCCAAGTGAGCTATTGTGCTCCCTTCGTGAATTGAATTCCCAAAATAGAATAAATAGGAAATAAAAAAAAGACATGAATAACAGCAGAGGATTAAAAGCATTCAATTTTACTATCTAACATTAGACCTACTCCCAGTGTTGTAGACAAGGCCTTAGCTATTTATAAAAACCACTTTGGAAAATTTAGGATGTTCAGATTAGCATAATAAAATTAAATCCATGTCTTTTTCCATAGTATAGCACAGGTGCCACACAATAGAAAAAGTTTTGATAAAAATAGACCAAGTTAATATGAGTAATTGTTAGGTGATACAACAACAGGTGTTCTTACGCATGTTTTAATTAAAACAAAAACAGGTGTTCTGTATAAGGAAGTACCACCTACACACTGAACAGATCTGTAACTCAACATTAACAAACACAGGGGAGAGGGTGGTGATCAGCAACGCACAGCACTGACAGGGCTGTATGGATACGGGGAGTCAGAGAGAGTGGTAGCCAGCAGAGATGTATTTTAAAAGACAACATTACACCCCAAACATTCCCAAAGAAATGTTGTTCTCATCGACAGAATGGCATGTATTTCTCTACCTATATACCTTACTACCTACATAACCTCTACCACACTCCCTTCCTATATACCTTACTACCTACATAACCTCTCCCCACACTCCCTACCTATATACCTTACTACCTACATAACCTCTACCACACTCCCTACCTATATACCTTACTACCTACATAACCTCTACCAAACTCCCTACCTATATACCTTACTACGTACATCACCTCTTCACACACTCTCTACCTATATACCTTACTACCTACATCACCTCTCCCCACACTCCCTACCTATATACCTTACTACCTACATAACCTCTACCACACTCCCTTCCTATATACCTCACTACCTACATAACCTCTCCCCACACTCCCTACCTATATACCTTACTACCTACATGACCTCTACCACACTCCCTACCTATATACCTTACTACCTACATAACCTCTACCACACTCTCTACCTATATACCTTACTACATGATCCACATCTCTGTATATAGATCTACCTATTACTGGTCCATATAACTGTAAAACGATATATTCCCAGAACCAGAGAAAAGCTCTGGACATAAAGAAATCTCACCCACATATTTACTGAGAACTAGTATTTACCCAGACCTAGTCTACAACTCGGTACAAAGAGGTATCTACCTAAAACACCTATTTCTAGTCCACAACTCTGCTACCAGGTTTTCCCTGTTCAGCTGCAGACATCTGTCTAGGTGCCAAATTCAGACTAGAAAACCATCACAACAATTTTTGTTGCTATGAAAGTGTGATTTCTGTGGTGAGAAATGATTCTTTCAAAGTGTTTAACACAATGAAAACCCACGGTTTGAGAGATGCAAGTCTCAATATCCCTGTACAGTCTATGAGCCTGCTAACATTTGGAAAGTTGTCAAATTCCTCATTCCAAAATTAGTTCCTTCAGTTATTTTAAGCAATTGAGACAATTCTGTGTAAACGTTCAATATATATAACAAAAATATTTTATAACTTCCTGCTAAAATCTTGCAGACTGCTTCTAGGTTTTGTAGACAGTGTAATCTATATGTCTATACAAACATTCATAAGAACAATCTTAAAATGTTTTCAGAGAAGATTGAATCCTTTCCGTCATGTCAGGAGGTGGTAACATGTTTCTATATGTAGCAGTAAAATTGATTCTCCTGCTCCTTCTGCTATCATTTATAACAATAATTACTAAACATCTTCTTTATATTTACTAGTACATCCTGTTTACAGAATTTAATCAAAGTTTTATGAACACATTGATGTTGAGTTTAATATCGCTATCTTAAGGTAGAAAACCCCAGTTCTGAAGATTTAACCGCCAATGCAGAAGAGTTCCAATTTGTTAATTCCCAACCTGGGAGGGATTGAGGAGATGATTACCTAGACAAAAGCTTGAAGTTTATTAAGAAACCTCCAGTGATAGGATGGGTTATGCCAATATTTTTTGGTCAACATTACCTGATATAGTTTTACAAATATTAAAATTCCTGGTGGGCTACCAACTAATTATCTACGTTACATCAGGTAATTTTAAAAACAGGAGAAAAATGATGAAAAAATCTATTCTTTATTCTTTACAGAGTATGTTTATCTATAGACAGCTTTCAAACTGCTGTTCCACAAGGACAAATTGAACCCTTCAAACATGTCTGTTGGTCTGTCATCTGTCCATCTGTCTGTCTGTCTGTCAAACAGCTTGCTGGTTGGCTATTCCGGTCATTTTTGTGGCTGTATTGCATGTTTGTATATATATATTGTATATCCATTCATGTACCTGTCTGTCTGTCTGTTTAAAAGTCTGTATTGCCTGCCAGTTGGACAGCTTGCTGGCTGGCTGTTCTGGCCAGTTAACTGGCTGTTTTGCATGTCTGTCTGTTTGTACTGATGTGTTAAAAGCTGTGTGGTCCAGCAAATTGTAGCTCCTGCCCTTGTCTGACATTTGGCAGGTAGACCTTTGCTGTAAATACCTAAAATAATATGAAATTGTCTGGAAAACAATCTGTATTAAACAGCTGTGATAATGTGATAGAAAACACACAGAGTTGTATACAGTAGTAGTCCTTACAGGGTGTTCAAGTACAGCATAAACATCAAATCACCCTTTTTCAGATTTTTTTTTCTCTTACAATACACAAGTGCATAAGCAGAAAAAAAAGACTGGTTGACTTGTGGCTGGCAGGATTGAAGGAGTTATGTAGAATGATAAGGCTGGATTATCAACAGTCTGATTTTAAACAGTGATGGAATCCTACAGGTTATCAAGTCTTGTAAACTGACAGTTACAGGTTACAAACAGCCCAGGATACAAGTTAAAATATTTTTTGTGGATAAAATATTTGGAAATTCTAGCATTCCATTCTCTATCCAATTTAAGAATAAATATTTAAGTATTTGAAAACCTCTTGAAAAGCAATACAATTGTTTAGATGTCTACATTTTCTTCACAAGCATGACAAGATAAAAATTTCCCAAACTCAATTGGTGATAGGAGTGTCATTTTATGGTGATATAAATGCCACATTTCTGCCAGCACATGGAGGTTGCAATATGCAAGGGAAGCAGAGCGTTTGATCCTGGTCTGATATTTGTTTCAAATCTAGAGAATACACTATTGAACAACAGGATATGATGGTGTTTGACCATTACTAAATGTATCAATATAAGGAGGATTCAATGAAGATGTTCAATGATGTTTGTCTAAAGAGGGTCTCCAGGATGGCCCTCAATGAATATCAAATTTATTACCAGAAGAGGGTCTCCATGACAGAGCACAACAGATATCAAATTAATCACCAGAAGAGGGTCTCCATGAGGGAGCACAACAGATATCAAATTTATTATCAAAAGAGGGTCTCCAGGATGGCCCTCAATGAATATCAAATTTATTACCAGAAGAGGGTCTCCATGACAGAGCACAACAGATATCAAATTAATCACCAGAAGAGGGTCTCCATGAGGGAGCACAACAGATATCAA